GTATGGACCATAAAGTTCTAAAGCCTTTGGTGTCTATTGCACGGCAGTATGCAGTGGTCTTTAAATCTTGACTAACGATGACTCCTAAGTCATTGTGTGTGTAAGATCGTCTACGTTGATGATCTATGTCGAAATGATTGGGGGCCTACTATAGTTAGACGAGAATGGGGACGAACCAATTAACGCTGAAGTCACACCTCGCGACCAGCCCTTACGTGGATTGAACCATCGACGCATCAAAGGATAATAGATGCTATGGAGACTGTACAACACAAAGGACGTTATGACAAGAATATATTAGTTAAGGTACAACTACGGAAGTACAGAAGTGAAAGAATAACCACTGCAGCGTGGGCCAGTCCATGGCGTACGATTGGTTTTGTGCGCGTTGACTATCCTTGACCTTGACAAGGGTCAGTGATTTGTTCGATATTCAGTGACCCTACAATACTCCCCCACCAGATTCAACGGCCGTTTGAGTCGATGCCAAACATGTTGGGAGTAGTCGCGCGCCGGAGGTTGCCAGACGATTAATATGAATCCTCCGGGTATTGCCGAGCTGTAAAAGAAATGGAAAGGAGGCTGCAGAAACTGATCGGGGAAACAACGAGTAATAACACGTAACAAGGACGTTGGTTGAATGTTAAGCGATCAACCATAGAAATAATAGAAAAAGAAACATTTTGGAGTTTTATCAAGTCGCGTTGAAAAATATAGCTCTGACAAGTGGTTGAGTTCCTCAGGTGAGAAAAAGTAAGTTTGTCGCAAGAGTAGTGATGTCACAGTGATAGTACGATAAGTGTATTATCAATCGGTGCCGATGTTTGTACTGCCCTTGGTACAAAGTAGAAAGTCAGTAAGTGTCGCTGACAACCGTTCGTAAGCGTCGATTTCTAGTTATATATATATTCAACAGACTAACTGTAAGTACAGAATTATAACCGTGAAGATAAGTCGTAGTTTCCTTGTGTAAAGCTTCTGATCAACTTGCAGTCAGTTTGGAAAAACTGATAACTGCTGTGAAAATCAATGTGGGTCGAAGAATAGAGAGCGAAAGCGAAAGGTGGCACGATGAAATCTCTAAAAGATGATAATTGGTGAGTGCTGCACACGTGTTTGATGAGTGAACCGAAAAATGTCGAAAATATAAGAAACCAAGAGTGTCACTCTGGACTCATGTCAATGATATCGGTGAAAAATGCTGTCAGTGTTGGGGTCGAGACGACAATATCGTTGTCAGTTTGCAGGAGATGCGCTCGACTGCGTAAACCGATGATTCGCGTGAATGAGTGTCGTCAAACCACCAATTGAACTGGACAGGCTTTAGATCGTCGAGTAGTTGAACAGCCGATTGATGTACCGAAATCATCTGTTAGATAACAGCCACGCGGAAACAATACTTCATAATATGAAAAAATACGACGTCGAAGTTGAATAACTACAATAGTTCGGAGGTGTTGTAATGTCACATCGAAGTAACATCATCTCGTATACTGACAATTGTACTGAACGTTCGTTTGGGCATTGTTTATGTAGCAATTGGATGTGCAGTATCAAACATGTACGAAGACTATCGTGGGGTTTGTGGAGAATTTCAGAAGACGTTTAGATATTTTCCAAACCCGTATTGCATGTGAATAAGCCGAAGACGGAATTAGAGTGACTTTCGTGCAATAAGGAAATCGAGTCATGATTTACTGTATGAGATAACAGCAAACAAAAAAAAGCGCATAGTAAACATTAATTTAAATGGTAGCCACCAATGTAACTAAAGTTTAGGTTTCGATAACGTGATCGTTTCGTAAAAAAGCATATTATCTAGCTCTAAGTGACATCAAGTACGACGAAGTGTCTCATTAAGACATGGACTAAGATTGCTCGTGTATATGAAATACGTTTTTTCGGAGTATGTTGACTTACAAGTCATAAATGTAAGTAGTTTCGACTAACATTTGACGGCAGTGACAGAATGTATGACTACTCTAGGTGAAAGTAGCCGCAAAATGTTCGACATTATAAACATTATACGAAATTAACTAACTCAATTATGAAACTCGCCTGGATTACTCTTGCTCCAAAGTAATTGAAATTTGTGGATTAACTTCGTAGATTAACGAAACGTTGTAGACTGAATTGGAATAAGTCTAATTTAGGTTGAACACGTAGAATTGCCTGACGAAGTTTAAACAAGATCTAACATTGCAGGAAATTTATAGTTCAAACTCACCGTAAATTTCTAGCATTTGTATCCTCTGATTCGCCATGGAGCTCAGCAATTGGAAATTAGGCAGGCAGTGGTCAAGAAAGTAAAATATTCTAGTAGATAGTTTTTGATAGTAGTTAGTTGACAGTGAATAAGCAGAAAGATGAATTTAATAATCGGCAGTTTATCCTGTATTGGTTATACAAGTGGATAAGTTGCAAACAGATATGCGTACGTGTTGCCTTGAGGCCATACTTACGAGTGGTTGATATTTTAACAGACATATTACACAGGAGCATTTACATGCTGCTAATGCTTGTTAAAGAACCACGATAGTCGATTACAGTCGCAGTTGATTGGTTAGTTCTATCGATTGAACTAATTATTTCAGTTGAAATACTAATCAACATTGATATGAAGCAACGAATGTTCACAGAAACTGATAAAGATAGCCGAAGTTAAAAATGGAAAATAATAAGTACAAAATGTAAAAAAAAAGAACATAATGACAGGTTGCGTTATTCGAAGTCTTGCTCACCAGTGTAAGATCGTCTACGTTGATGATCTATGTCGAAATGATTGGGGGCCTACTATAGTTAGACGAGAATGGGGACGAACCAATTAACGCTGAAGTCACACCTCGCGACCAGCCCTTACGTGGATTGAACCATCGACGCATCAAAGGATAATAGATGCTATGGAGACTGTACAACACAAAGGACGTTATGACAAGAATATATTAGTTAAGGTACAACTACGGAAGTACAGAAGTGAAAGAATAACCACTGCAGCGTGGGCCAGTCCATGGCGTACGATTGGTTTTGTGCGCGTTGACTATCCTTGACCTTGACAAGGGTCAGTGATTTGTTCGATATTCAGTGACCCTACATGTGCCTAGACAATAGGTAACTCAGTGTTATTCATCGTGTATGTATTTGTATCCTGGTGGCCAGTGTGCATCACAATACACTTGGAAGTGTTTATCGGCAATTGTCAGGTTTGGGACCATTCAGATAATCTCTCCAGGTCATTTTGGAGTTCTAAGCTATCGCCCTTGCTTTGTATCGCTCTCCATATCTTGACATCATCAGCATAGAGTAAGACCGATGACGATAGTAGACGAGGGAGGTCATTTACGTACAGGAAGAATAACACTGGCCCCAAAACTGTACCCTGGGGGACTCAACTAAGCACAGTTTCCCAGCTCGACAACTTGGAGTTCACCCTTACTCTTTGTTGACGCCCAACTAGGAAGTCTTTTATACACATCAATAGATTGCCTCCAATCCCGACATTCCTTAGCTTATATAACAGCCGTCGAAAGCTTTGCTGAAATCGATGTAAGCTACGTCTATAGGTAACTTTTGGTCCTTAAGAGCGCACCAGCTTTCACGAGCGACTAATAAGTTTGTGAGACATGAGTAACCTGTTCTAAAACAATTCTGCTTTTCCGAGAGGATCCGGTTTTCATCGAGATACTTGAACAGCTCCTTCCGAATAATCTTTTCTAAGATTTTAACAACTACTCTAGTTAGGCTAAGGGGTCGGTAATTCTCAGGCTTATGTTTTGTACCTGTTTTGAAGACTTACATAATTTTTCTTTCTCACATTACGCAATAATATATCAGTCCAGTTGACAGCGGTGATACTTATCATGGATAGAACTGTTTATGACTGTATATTAATAGTTCATATCGTAATGTAGCACGTTATATATTGACGTTCAATTGGAAGCACGAGTGATCTGAAACAACACTACTACAGTCATGACTGGTAAGTGCCGTTGAAGTTAGAACACAGTGTACTGGCACAACAGATATATTTTTAAAACTGAAAGACACGGTTCGAGTACAAAAGGGGAAACTTACTACAAAATAGTTTTATTCATTGTTCTGCTCGTTCAGATAGCGTAGGGCTTCTTCATCTTTTTCCAGTGTGTTTACTCTTTGTTGCCCTGTAATAGAAAAACAAAATCGCATTAGAAACGTCGCATAGAATGACTATTATAACCATTACAAGATTCATGAATAGTTTGACTCTCAAGTGCCTCAATCTACAATTTATAAACAACTACCAACACCCATGTTCATCACTTTCATAACAAGAGAGGTGAGTCTTATGTAAATTACTTTACAGCTTGTTTTTGCTTGAAACTATAATTTCGGTCTATTTTTGACTTGATAAATGATGAATTTCACTTGCCTGAGTTTGCATTGTTACAAATTACCAAGTTAGGCTGACTAAACATTCATCCAGGTTGTCAGCTCCAAATACATCAGGTAACCAATAGACTGCAATAAACGCCATGTATCACTCATAAATATTACAAAACTTCACGTGTGACGGAAAAATACTGCGATTAGCCGATAAAAAACGACATTAAAAATCCGCGACAACATGTAACATATAAGCGAGAATCAATGACATGACTTTTCGACCATGCCTATCCTAAGTGTGGCCTTACGTAGGTGGGATATAAAATTCGAAACATCTCCTCGTCAAAGCATTTAAATGCTCGGCGAAGTGACCATAGCGCACGATAACCTCTGGAAGCAGCCGCATTGCAGTGGGTAGTAGTTTTCAAGTCGTGACTTATAGTTAGTTTGCTGGCTACTCATATGGTGCTGAGGTCTTGGATCTGCATATCTGAGAAGTCAGACACTTAGAAGTAAAAACTATCCCATATTTTTCAGTTTTTTCAAGCTATGTCAAACCGTGATTGAAATTACGAAAATCGAACAAGTTTTACAACTGTCTCATATTACTAATAACCAACATTGAAATAAAGATAAATAATCTCGTTCCTTCGGGACGGTGACCTTGGTACGTCACACAAATTCGTTTTGTACAATTACAATCGGTTTGTGTAAGTTGATTTACTTGTCTTAGAGTTAGAATTTCATATCCGAGTAACTTTTATTATTTGTAAAGTTATCAAACCACAATCACTCAATGCAGTTAGTGTAAACATTAACATGTGGATGATAACCTAACTCATAAAATCCCCTATTTATAAATAGGGGATTTTGAATATATATTCTCAATCTCCCTATTTTGGGGGAAATTTAGTCCTATTTGGGTAATCATTGAGGAAGTCTCTATAGAATACTTCGAGAATATGACACAAAACCCCCAGAATTTCTCCAGATCTGAGGAAAAACCCGTAAATGTTTTGGGAAAATTAGGGTTTTCCCAAATATTTCCCCAGAATCTTATAACACTTCGGGGTTTTTCTTCAAAATTTCCTAAAACTTCGGAAAAAGCTGCCATAGTGTTTGCGATTTTGGGGAAAGACCCAAAATTCCCGAAGATTGGGTTATATGATATTTGTCTGACTTCATGAGCCTGAACTATGTTTGATTGCTTTGGTCCTGTTATTCCATAAGTTGTCAGAATTCCATGTAGGCGAATGCATTTTAGGTTCATAATCAAAAAGCTGAGAGGTCCCGACCAACTTTTGCGTGTAATTTGTTTCGCGAATAAACCATGGTAATAAACCATCTGATAGCCGGTTTGACGAGTTGACCAACCAGTGAGAAAATCTGTATGCCAAAAGGTATATGACCGCCATGTCTTCCTGTGTTCTAATCAAAGTCTAGTTCAAGAAAACAGTTTGACTGGAGTTGAAATAAATTTTCTGAAATCCGAAACCGAAATTTAAGTAGTTCACTTTCTATCAACCCGAATACCTCGTCGGTCTTGCATATAACAGTCTTTTGGACTCAACTTGTCAATTATTAAATAGAGTCGAACCGTTATAACCCTAGAAATTATATGCAAACAACAGTATGATTCGAAGAGAAGTGATGAATTCGGAAAGTTATAAATACAAAATAGTATTGCAAATCAAAATCGAGCAATACATAAGGATTCAGTACATCTACGTCATCAGACTCAAAATCTTTAGCCTTTGATCACGGTTATAGTATGAACCCAACTTGAATGTCCTCACTTTCAGACTGTGGTTTGCCAGAATTCTCAGGTTTCTGTGAGTGAAAGCAGACCTAATTTAATTGTTCACTATATATTTGATGAGTAGTGATGACTGTTGATTTTCCCTTATTATGTTTATAAAACATGACTGCCTAAATAATTTTATTTCATTGAGAGACAAAACGATTCTTTTACTATTTATGGGTAATGCATGTTGATCCAGGTTGTTTTATGCGACTATAGACAATTTACGTTCAAGATATTTCAAAACTGTTACCTTTTAGGGAGGTAACCTCCTAACAGATATTAGTGCAAAATACAGTTGGCATATTTACAGCCTGGTTTTCTTATTATTTTTTGACAAGTTTTCCTACTTGATTTTTGTCAATGTAATGTTTCAGCTCTTCTGTCTTGCTAATCTTCAGGGTTAGAGTTTGTGATTCAGTACATGGATCCTTTTCAAAAGCGAGATAAAATTCCACGGACACCACCTGGTCAATCTTTTGTGGACAGGTCTTACATCTTTGATGGTACAACAAATGGTGAATGTTCTATTTACGATGAGTCAGGTAATCGCAGGACTTCTGTTTTCGACACTGCTAGAAAATACACTCTCACTTTTGATAACTATGGAAACACAAGGTAGGTTTTTCTACGTTATGAATAACTGACTGACTTTCTCTCTGATTATGATATTCATTCTTGATGATAATAAGTTTTTTAGTCGTATTTACTGTCTTAACCTTTTACTACTTGTCTTTCTTACCTTATAAATTAGCCTTCGAACTTCATGTGACATTGTTACACTCGATATTTCTTTGTCACTGAAACCAAATAGAGTTTCTAGAAATGGTGATTTACAGACAAGTTCACATATGGTATCTTCAAAACAGTATGGATTGTTCACATCGTCACCTGTCAATGTGTCTACTCCTCGGCTAATTAAATATCTCCAGGTGTGTTTTTTTTTAATCGTGGTTCTTATATAATGTTTGTATTTAACCTGAAATCCAACGGCTTATTGGTCTTCGAAACTAATAGGAACTCGGTTGCAAAAGTACAAAGACGGAAACTTAAGCAAATATGTCGAGATTTTACTAAGTGCTTTGTACATAAATGAAAATACGAAAAAGAATAATAAACAATGTAAACTAGCCATACAGATCATTTTTAATCATTTCTTTGTAAACATTCATTTTAGAAGGAATGTAATAAACAAACAGTTGCTAATTGCACATCTCCAGATAAGGAAAATATTGCACCATCCAAAGCAGTATGTTCAGAGATTGCTACGGTTAAAAAGCGTCATGCCAAGAGGAAATGTGATATTTCATCTGATAGTTCAGTCGTTAATTCATCAGTTCAATCAATTTTTGTCGTTCCCTCGACAGTTCGGCAACTTCGACCCAGACGCAAGGCAACTCCTATCGTCAGTGATCAGTCACTGTCTCATCAGTCTGAATCTTTAGTGATGACGAAAAGTGTCCTAAGGAATCCAAATATGAGGTCAACGAAAAGGTAGGTTACATAAAATGTTTTATAACATAATCGTCACAAAGTCCCATGAAAATGTAAGTGATGCCTGCACCAATTTAGGAGAACGAAACCTTAGATACCTATACCAGTTAATTTGTTACAAAAACTGTGTCCAATTTGTTTGGTACAGGCGTTTTAGTAACCTTAAAATGTGGTTTTAGAGACTCTAGTAACCGTTCAATGAGTAATGATCAACGTATTTCATAATCCTTATTGTTGATCGAGTTTGTAGTATGACCATTAATTCAAGTAATATTGCATCAAGATGCACTGTTTGATGTTGCATAGTTTTAGCTGACTTACAAGAGGTTGGGTAATAGATTTGTAATGTTCCTTTTTTATTGATTTGGCGTTTAAACATTTCATTGATTGACTATATACTCAAATTGGCTTACGTGAACTAGTTTGAGTGTCCATATATCAGATAAGAGTAAAGACCGAGTTACTCCTTGTTTTTATAATGCATGACGTTCACATATACTGTATTTTAAAGTTTTTAGAATCCTCTTGGCGTTGAGTATTGTTTAGGGGAATCACTTTTGTTTGGAAATTCGAGCTTAAATTTACGAAGTGAAGTAGCTAATGAGCAGATAGTTTCACCTATCTTCAAAGTCTCCTCAATTCTGATGTGTCACTATTTAATGACATCTTATAATAGATTGAAAAATGTCGTTCACCTGTCTTCATTTCATAAAGCTTTTGGGTTTTCACCAGCCAGTGGTCAATGTTTTATTACATAAGCAATTGAATTAGTTCCTCCATTTTGTTGACATTCAATTTCTATGTAATCAGGTTTTCCAGAACAGTTATGAGTTATACTTTCATTCCCATTGGAGTTTTAATTTCTGCAGGTGTATTAAAATTTCATTTGATATATGATTATAATAATTCATGTTTCTGATTATATTTTTTTCGCCTACTTGCTGTTTTCTTATCTTCCAACAGATTAGAACCTAACTCACTTTCACATTATCTTGATTTAAGTTTCTAACTATTTGCGTTTTTATAGCTACATATCGCTGACTGTTTTATTTGTATATACATTGGTAGAAGTACTAGTGGTATTTTACACGAATAATAAAGATAGAAGTTTCTGAAACAATATGGTGTACTTTTTTCTGAGATTTCAAAGAAATCCATTTTACATACTGGGTAGTTTAGGTCACCACATACTTAAAGAATGCTTGGTCCAGAGGGCTTAATGGTACTCGTGGAGTTGGGTCACGAGATTTTGTGCGATTCAAGTTATAGAACACTTGAATAATCGTAGCATTGCTCGTGTATGTTTGGATCACCGAGTTATCAGTCCTGAAGTTGGTAGCAAGGTGCTAGGTAAGTATGGCAAGTTTATTGACGAGACAGTGAATCCCCGTCGACTGGAGTGGTATACTCAACCACCACCTATCTCGACGGATGATGCTTACAAGTCTAGAAGTAGGTTGAAAAGTAGGCAAGGGTGTCTAAAACAAACGTGAAGTAAGTCCATGAAACCATTGGCTATTGAACTAAGCCATGTATATAAGTACATACTACCTGGTCGGGATCCATGCGATTATTGTGACCAGTGTTCAGAGACTGAATGACTTGACCCAAAACCGTTCACAATGGTCCATACCCGTCCACTCTTTGTCCTCATGTAGGTCCAAAGTCTCAATTTTTTATTCCACGAACCCATGTTTTCTTTTCACACCATATATTGTATGATAAATCTTTTTCACTTCTGCTAATGCTGTTTCTGCACATACCATTTTCACATCTGGTTATGCTGTTGTGGTGTGCTAACTTGAACCGACGCACACTTGTCCTATGTTATGTTTAGCTTACTAATTGGTTCACCCCACATGCAAAATTTATTCTGTAAAGCTTATCAAACAACAACTGATCTTATTAAAGTAAAATAATTTGATATGTTTGATCCGTTTAAGGAAAAAAACTGATTCGTCTCATCTGCTTGAGGTAATAAATTCCCCAGTAGTCACTGCTGACCCTGTAACTCCTCCAACACTTGTTCCTCGGCACAGGCGAGTACAGCCAGCCAATACTCAAAGAAGACGACGTGCGAATGTTAGCACTTCATCTACTTCTTTGGATTACAGTAAAATGTCAACTTCTAATTCAACTGAAAATGACTCAATTATTCATCAACCATCTACTGTCCGAGTATGTTGGTACTTTTTTTAAAAAAAGAATCATCTTTTTTTTGCATATCGTACTTTAATTTTCAGTATTGGTCAGATAGAATTAAAAATTAGTCGCATCTTAAAGGTCGTTTTGTATTGATCCAGTAGTCTGAATCTGTTTTGAAGTATTTGATTTGAATTTCGAAATCAAGCATATTGCCTCCGTGAATTCAATAGAAACATAGGTTTGTCAGTAGTTGGAAACTTCTTTTTCAATGAGCATTTATTTAAAAAGTTTGGAAAGAACGGAGTATCAAAGTATTGATTTGATTAGTTAATTTAAGGGAATCAAGTATTTCTCAGAAAGATTCAAAAACCTCACTCGTTTGCTATGATAATATTTCCTTTGTTTTTTTCATAGATCTTTCTCACTGTAGTATATTAGATCCAGTTTTTGTCGTGCATATTGTCTAGTTGTGCGCCGAAGTGACTTCACTTGGTCACATCTCAATGTTTGTAGAGAACGTTTCAACGGCATAGCCGTCTTCAGTACAGTTTTGTAAAAGCACTTGCGATATATTCAAGTCAGATAAATCAGCCAAGGTCATCCCCATAGCCGATTGTTCCCGCTATTCAAAATTTTGGTTTAGAAAATCAAATGTCACAGTTATCAAACGAATCAGCCATCTACTGTGCAATATATCCATATTCAGGAGACATTTATAAATTACCAGTATTTGGTCGTATGTGAAAAATTCTCGCGTATGTTAGAACATTCGAGTGAGCACTAGTAAAGTTAGACGCAGGGTAATAAGCGATTCAGTTGGTGAGGTTGTGAATCACCATCGACTGAGGTTGTTGGGACATGTGTTACTCATACCCAACCATCATCTGTCTTAATGAAATATCGGGTGACGTAGTAATAGGTTGGAGAAAAAGTGGGGTCGGTCAAATCAAATCATGACATCAGTCCATGAAATAATTAAATATTGTTCTAATCCTGGTTGAGGTCCATCCAACTACCACGATTAATAATTAAGGGCATAAAGTGATATGGCTCAAAATCGGTCTGCATACTGAAGATGGATTCGGCTTTCGCCTATTTATTGGTTCTGACTTTTAGAGTTATCTTATACTCTTTACTTCGCTAATTCATAGTTAAAATATTATAAAGCGGTCGTACTATAATGAGGAGTACTAAATAAATTTTTAAGTGTTACTTAGAAATAAAATCAGTATCATTTGAAGTCTTCTTCTATTCTTTTGTACCTGACAATGTTTTCGACATTCTGTTCTATAATAATGGTCCCTCTTTTTGAATAGCTGGATGTTGTTTAACTAATGCACTGTTTTATATTTTTTATTTATTTTTAGAAAAAACCAAGGGTACAGATCGTCTATAATAGGTGAGTCTTACCATATGCCAATTTATGGCCATAAATATTAATTGGTGCATCCATATTCATTGACTGCATTTATTTATTTTCATGTTAATTTCTCTGATGAAATGATATGATTCGAAGAAATCACTGAAAACTGGAGTTATCATGCAACTACTCAGTCCTTTTATTAATTCTAAGGTGTTCTGTTTCGAATCTTACAAGTTTAAATATAGTATCGTCATATTTCGCGAAAATAACATATGTATTGATCAGCAAAGATTGATAGTGGCTAGCAGTGGAATCCGTAACGTGTGTTTCGTCCTGTTTGGAACTCGTCAGCTGGATGTACCTGCATCTCAGAGTTGATGTTCACTCTGTGACTCGAATCCAGTACCTTTCGCTTCAAACGCCATCGTGTTATCCCCTCGGCCACTGAGTCCTGATAGCCACTTGCTTGTGCGATGGGGTAAAGCTTAAATTCATTTAGTATTGTTTGTTTGAATCTTCCCATCGATGTGTAGAGACTGACCAGTTGCAGTCCTAACATATCGATGGGAAGATTCAAACAAACAATACTAAATGAATTTATACGTATTGATCATTTTATTCTATTCTAGGGTTTATTTGATGTACACGTTTAGCAAATCCAAAGGTTCGTAGTTCCCTGTATATGGTTTGATTGATAATCATTGCTGTGGTGCTACAGACTAGGATTAAAATGATATTTCTTCCTTTTATGGTTGGACTATCGTGTTTACCTCACAACTTTGATAGGTCAATTTCAGCCTACTCATAAGTAGCTTAAATATTTAACCGAAAATCTATTTATTTAACACATTCAACTTGCGAGTTGAACACTCAGTATCCTAACCCGGATACAGTAAACTTAATTATTTCATATAGAAAAGGCAGTTACTATATGATTTGTTAAGATTTATATTTCTGTTGTTCACTATCACATGGAAAGTATAGGGAATAAAGGGAAAGGTCGAATGTTACAAATTTTTACCTTCATTTCTACCCACAGAGAGTAGCCTTCTTCAGTGGATATGATTTGTTAAAAAGAATCTAAGCACTTGTAAAGGATAAGATTATAGAGTTATAATATCAAACGAAAGCATTATATAACTGGGTCTCAGCGACTACGACTGTCACAAACATTTATAATAAAAATTACAATGTCGATTTGTGTCATTTTGTTAATTGTTCTGAACCTGTAGTTATACACAGGACACTGGCTGATAATTTATGCTGATTTACAAGTTACTGACGTCTGGAATATTAGCTGTCTTAAATTAAAACTAGTGGTTTAGGGACAATTATCCCTGTTGTATAAAAATTTGAAAGATCCGTTTTAATCTCGTTCATAATTTGGTGATGTTCGGAAACAAAATAGAGCTATTCAGTTTAGACTGATTCACCAACGATTATTGTGTAATTTAAAATGACTCTAATGAGGCATTTTATGGGACTCAGTAGTAAAGTACAGATTTATATGCTCGGTTTTGAGCTGCATACATTTTCTGTACGTGTTCTCACATATTTAATACATACAAAATCGGATACAAATGGGCAACAAAACAGAATGCACCATATAAACACAGATGTAACATTGTAAAGAAGAAAGTAAAGAAATAGAATACAACTATGGTCAAAAAGCTTGTGACACTACCCTTGACTATCCAAATCGAAGTAGGTATTTGGGAGTGGGGGTTCTAAGCTTCGACCTAAAGCTATCTAATGATAAGTGTTTTAACAAGTAAGACAGTACTTCATATTTGTGTCAAAAATCATCATTAACTTTTACAGTTATAAATCATATGTCCATAAGATTGTAAAACATTATTCTATTAGACACAGAGATCACTAATTACCTATGGGAATAGAAAGCCCACTTGTTGCTTTCAACTTTGTCTTCAATAATTAATCTGATCATTATCAGAAGGTTAGACATTAATACTGTTGGATGCCGGCCGTCTCAGTGATCTATCGTTTAAGTGCTCTGGCGTGAGACTGGTAGGTCCTGGGTTCGAATCTCGCGAGGCTTTATCGTGGATGCTCACTGCTTAGGAGTCCCACAATAGGACGAAACGGCCTTAAAGCAGTGCTTCCAGGTTTTCCATGGTGGTCTAGCTTCAGATGACTCATGATCTCAACTATATAATCTGATCATATTGACAAAATATTTCTCACTTCATTCATATATATTGAAATAATGCAAGAAGAAAAACTAAACACTATTCTAGCGTTCAATTATGTATTGATAACATTGAGTAAATTTTCACTGATTTCATGACTTATGACTTTATGAACAGAAAAAGTATTCTGGTTTGTTGAATAAATGTTCATTCTTCCGATTATACTATTTTTATTTTAACTATTCATTTACTATAGTGAAGACGAGCCAATAGCTGCACGTTTACGACGACGTAACACGCGTGTGTCGTATACAGGAACAAAAACTCCAATGTAAGTTTTCATTATTGTTCATTTAAACATCAATACCACACAGTCAGTCAGTCAGTCACAACGTAGAACTTCGTACTTACGTACATCAGTTCGAGTTGCCATACCACATTAGCACAGAGATGCAGTTGTTGATTCAAATCCCATAGTGGTAGAAGTAGTAAGAGTATAAGCAGTAAGCACCACACGTTTCTAATGTTATGTAGATATTTATGTTCATAGATACCAGAAGTTGTATACAAGTTAAATTTACTCAAAGATGTACTCTAGAAAAACTTCTATTATTATTATACTATTGTTGTGTGTGCTACTGATGTTGACAGATATAAGTAGTATGTATCATCAATCGAAAGTGAAATACCTGAAGGTAGAAGTTTAAGAAGATCGAAGAGAACGAGAACAAAGATTGGTTGGTGTGAAATGAAGGAACAATGAAGCCTGTGACAATCGAGTGACATTTTGCAAATGAAGTATTTACTGTACGGTTATCAGATTTTACTGAGTGATTGTGTCCCATTAGCGTACTCGTTCATTACACTATGCTACCATGCTTGGTTTGGGCGTCCGGGCAGTATTCCATCCCTCATACAAATCGAATCATTTGTGTGTTGCATATATATTTGATTCCTCCGTATACCAATGTTTGTGTTTAAATAAGTAAATGCTAAGTTCTGAAGTTTTATTAAAAATTCTATTAGTTATGTATCTAGTAATAGTGTGATATTTCCCTTTATAAATCACCATTTCCTGCTGTTTTGTTTTCATAGTTTCAGAAGAAGTAGTAGTGTAGTGAAGGAGAACTCAAGTTTAATGTACAATTATACAGTTGCTTAGTAAAATATAAAAACCATATATTAAATACATCATTTGAATATCTTCTTTGCAGTGACCTTTACATACTTCATTATTCCTCTGATTCTGTTGTTATCTCAATTACTGCCCGATTTACTTCTTGTTCGCTTTATTTCAATCATCTTCTGATAAGCATTCTCCTTCAGACTGGTGTTACATACTACTTATACTTACCAACATAAATAGCATACACCATCGTAGTAATGAAGAAAAAAATTCATTAATACACTTGAGCAGGTTAAGAAATTCGGTAAACTCTGTTATAAATGTATTCTATTAGTTTTATTGAGAAGATATTATTTCACATTGGTTTAGTTAATATGGTGTTCTCCCAAATTCTAATCTTTTGAATTCTTCATGTCTCTATCTTTTTTCTCTTTCCAAATTTACGTCACTGGATTATACTCCTTGAATAACATCTTCAAACCGTAATCTTTCGGATTACTGCTTATACTCTTACTACTTCTACCACTATGGAATTTGAATCGACAATTGCATTTATGTGCTAATATGGTATGGCAACTCGAACTGATATACGTACGTACGTACGTACGAAGTTCTACGATGTGACTGACTGAGTTAATATGTAGTAACTTTTTGAATATGTGCACACTGATATATCTATCATTCAGTGAAAACTGTTTATTGCATGTGGAGTTTTTTTATTATTATCTAAACTGGATAGTTTGTGATAAGTTTTCCAACTGTATGCTTGAAACAGTTTCCTAAGCTTTTCTAATAACCCGAGACTAAATGTACAAAGCAAATGGAACACAAGAGAAAAAGCGCAAATTGTGAAAAGAACACTTTGCTTCAAGGTTATTTATGCACAGAAAATCGTGGGTATTTATAGTATTTTAGATTGCCTTGGACTTCTGGAAGTTTATGGAACCATACTAAACACAGTAGCAGGATGCGTAATTATCCAATCAGAAGTATGATATGCGACCGTTCACCTTCTAGATGTTTCTCAGAAACTTCTATTCAACACCGATTGGATAAAATATTTCCTAGCGTTTTCAACTCCTCTTTAAACCTTCTCAAGGAATACTTTTGACCTTCTTAACACATTTCTTCTTTCACAAAATAAGACTTCATCTTAGGATCTACTTTCCACATCAGTTTGGTAAAGTTCACTTTCTATACTATTCTTTTATTATTTATAATTTAAACACATAAATATTGGTACAAAAGGGCACCAGATATATATGCACCACACAAATCCCAGTTGATTTGTGTGAGCGCTATGATACTGCCCGGGTGCCCAAACTGAAGCAGGTGATTTTCTTAGGGGGTCACACCCGGAACCTTTGACCTAAAGGTCTGATCCACAAGGCAGTGGAGCATCGTGAGGAGATGCAGTCCCATGGTAGTCGGTGACCAACGATTTATTCACACACCATTTGTTCCCTCACGATACTAGAGCCAATGTGCACCATTGGTTTAAAATTAGGGATTTCCAACTCCCGTAGGTGAACACGCCGTGTTCACCAACCCGGTTAAAGCACCGGACATCCGCTTTTCGTCCTCTCAATTTCATAAACAACAGTAATGCCACTAGAAGGTGGTAAGTAGGACTTCCCTGGCGGAGGCTGCGTACGCTTAGCCATGTGAGAGCATTTCAAGTGTTAGAACGGACTCTCCTCACTCTCAACCGTACCAGGACATTTAGGGATATACTATTCTACTGTACTGATGATTGTTAGTTCAGAAATACAATGAAATCTTCATGATTAAACGATCAAGTTTAAAGAACAAAACTTCATATAAAGGTTATTTTGTTCATTTTTTTTTCTTCATTTTATAAGTAAACAAACTTAATTCTGTTATACTTTTCATTAATTTATACAGGTAAATAATGGCGTTATATCACTATACATATATTCTGTACAAAGTATTACATTTTAACATTGTTTAAATTCCCTTCAATTATCCTTTTTCATATATCCATTTATAATGTAGGTATAACTAAGTGTCTTGAATGAATGATATTACTTATGGTGGGTTAATTTTGTTATGTTCATTCCATATATATATATATATCTCATTTCATTCCACTCAGTTCTTCTCTTCAATTATTATCTCTCTTTTCTTGAATATATATACTTTTGCATAGATTTGTGTATACACTTTCTTTTTCTTCCAGTTTTACAATAAGATAAAAATATATTATTTTTTACATAATGTTTTCTACTCACTGTCTTCTCGTGGCGGGGGTGTTTATGAAATTAAGAGGATGAAACACGAATGTTCGGTGATTTAACCGAGTTGGTGGATACGGAAATTTTATCTAGGGAAGTTGGAAAACCCTAATTCTAAACCGATGATGCACATGGGATCCAGTATGCTGAGGGAACAAATAGCGTATTAACCAATTGTTGGTGATCAGCTACCATGGGACTGCATCTCCTTACGATCTTCCATTGCCTTGTGGATCAGACCTGTAGGTCAAAAGCTCCAGGTATGGCCCCCTAAGAAAACCACCTGTCTCGGTTTGGGCACCCGGGTAGTAGTATGACAGTCCCTCACACAAATCAAATGAGATGTGGCGCATATATATTAGGTGCCCCTTTGTATCAATATATATGTATTTAAATAAAAAAAAATAAATTTACATCCAGTTTACATTTGTACTTAAATTACGGTTACTCATAGTTGATAAGCATTCAGTTTATACAGAGATAGGCTTTATTGAGAGGTAGGAAAGAAATTGTTCTGATCTCTTTAAGTTTAGATTTTTGTTATCATAAAAACTCATTTGATTTATTTCAGTGTATTATATCTACTGTTTACAATTGTTTGGTCACAAATATCACGTTTTTGATGGAGTTTTGTTCTCTGAGCTGGATGGTTTGGTCGTGGAGCGTACATCGTCTTTCTGAACGACATCATCAGCACAAACTTTGGGTAGAACAAAACTCCATCGAAATCACCCACCTGAGCTAAAAATCTTCTCCACCATCTCAATATCACGTTTTTCTAGTCCGTTTTTACTACTGACCAAACTTTACTGATCAAATTACGATGTAGTCACCAGTTTAAGTGCATGCAATTTCGAGTCACTGTGTTGAGATGTAAGGTGATTGAGGGTAGTCGACGAGAAACCCTGGTCGACTTAGATTTCATAATGTTCGCTTCTCGTTACCAAGATGTTGTTGTAATCTTGAGGGAACCGATGCTTCCTGGCGGATCCAGTCCAGTATCATTATTTCAAAATCGGAGACATTACCACTGAGCTACTCGAACTTCGACTAACCAACTGTAGAAATAAAATGTATACCCTCAAGTTTACAAGTACACTTTGCTAATGAATGCCAAATAGCGAAAACCTCAGGTCCATGATCTGTTGATTACTTCGATTCATCTGACACAGCTGCCATTTGTGTTCTTGTTATTGATGCCTTTCATTTGTCCCAGTTGGGAATTAAGAGATTGGGTTAATAACTAATAGAGCACAAGTGACAATCGTGTATCAATCTTAGTAAAATTCTAGGTCGTATTTGTGTGTTGTTATTTGAAATCCGTGGTATTAAAAACGTATAGTTTCCAATTAACAGGCTAAATTATAGATATATTAAGTCTCCCCCATTCAGTGTATTTAATACACTTTTTATCAAACAATGCTAACTGAAGATTGAGGGTAAACTCCACTCTCATTCACAGTTTCGACCTTGCACCTGAAAATAAACCAAAATGAAGCGGGAATTATTATTTACACTATTGTAATTCGTAATGGAGGGCTTCTTTCGTTATCCGTCGTTTTTCCTGGCTTACATGAAAAATGTAAAGTTTCCTACGGCGAAAATAACACTACAACATGCTACGGAGGTATTAAATGTATGGTAGTCAGTCGTGACGGAAGAAAAATCATAACAAATGACATATTTACTTACGCCTGTTACCCCACGTGGAGGAACATAGGCAACCCACCAGAATTCTCCATCAAACTCTGTCCTGGGCAGTCCTTTTCAGTCACTATTAATCCTTATAATATCTGCTTCTGGTTCCCGACGTAATGCATTCGGCCTCCCTCTTCCGTTTCTCTTCAGGATACCAGGTAAGCGCTCAGCAAAAGACATACCTCCAATTAATTCTATAATAGAAATCATTCCGAATTATCTACAATTGACTGACTAAGTAAATGAAAGCATAATCTAAGTTACCGACCAAGACACACTCAAATGGCTTGGAGACGTAAAGTTTATCCCCAGCTCTAACTGACTTGACGTTTGTTTCGAATGTAAAAGCTGATCGTATTTTAAATTGTTTGGTATTAACACATGCTGCCTAATTACAATAAGTAGTATGGAAAGTAATACAAAACATTTGCAATAAAATCCAAGTTGTCACATATTGTAAATCAATTTAACGTTTCAAGTTTGTTTAGGGTTCAAAACGAAAAGGACTTGAATAAAAAAATCCACAAATCCGAGGTACTTTAGTTAACTACTGGTTCTATTTCAGATTAACATTTCTAAAAACTTGTAAAAAGTGTAGATAACAAAGGAAAACTTTGTGTAGGATAGTTTGTTTGACCCTGGAAAAGGACTTGAAAATAGTTAATGACGGTTGCTTACGTATTGGATTTCACAATAAAAATCAACAGAGAATGAGCTGCAGTGAATTGTACTTTCCATTTGTTAATAAGACATATCGGCATGAAGTTTCCAAGAAGTACAGTAGTCTATCCACTCAATTACTTCACTTTCTATCGTTAGACTAAGCAATGACGTAGATGAGTTCTAAAGAAGTATTTTATATACAGTAGGGGAGAGAGGCAACTTAAAATTTCTTTCATTTTCACTCAAGGCATCCAAAAGTCTGTTTTACGTTGATATAATCTGGGTAGATTAGTGAGTCTTCATGTAGCAGATCAGACCCTAATAAAGTGCCTTGCTTTGTAACATACCTATAACAAAACTTTGATAAAGTGGTAAAGAGCACCTCTGTCTTACCTAATTACATATCACGTTAGAACCATGAAGCAACAAATATTCCAAGCGAAATAGGTCATGACTGTCCAACTCAATCGTCGCGTCAATGTAGTTACTGCAAGTGAATGTTCTTCATTATGAATCCTCATCTTATTTCTGAATCCATCATTAATACTCCTACTGCTATTACATAAAATGGTCATTATTAGAAGAAGTTTCACAAGGTAGTGGCTTTTAAAGAGACTCGTTAGAAGTACTTGGAATAAGGAAGTAAATTGGCTTATTAGTACACCACATAATAACTATTTTCATCAATCTGAAATGTTTATTCCATTTAAAAACTGCACTTACCAAATTAACTCAGGTGAAATGCTTTAGTCTGTCAATAGGGGGTTATAATTAAAGTTCGATAGTAGAATTCAGGACATTAGTTTCGTTCCATTTAGAATTTTTCAGCTGGATGTACCTGCATCCAAGTTGATGTCCACTATGGGACTCAAGACTGATCAATTCCAGTCCTAAACATCAGTGGAAAGATTCAAACAAACAATACAAAAAATGTACCAATAGGAGGATTTTGTAAAACCAAATAAACCTACTGTAATGAATGAGAACATAGGTTGGGACAGCCAATGTATTTTGACGCGTAGTTACAGAAGGTCTTGGTAAAATATAAGAACTATACATGGAATACTTCATTTGCGAATTTCCGTCGTTTGTATTCTACATTTTGTATGATTCTTCGTATTTTTAATTTCTTTCTATCCTTTTTAACTTGATCTGCTTAGCCTTCTTGTGCAAAGTTTTTAACTTTCTATCGGTGTTACATACTACTTATGTTTGTCGACATAAGTAGCATACACTACACTACGACTTTATAGAATTGAGATTCTCACACCACATATGTACGGTCGTACTATACTTAAAGAACGCTGAAATTCAAAGTAGTTTACTAGTAAACCAAACCAAACAATATACAATTTAACTCTCTGAAGTCTAATTAATATGAAATTTAATTATCTGAAATTCCTATAAACGGTTGAATTTTCTTTATTTGAGATCATGAGTCATTTGAAGCTAGACTACCATGGGATGCACTGGACGGCCATTTTGTCCTATCGTCAGACTCCTCAGCAGTGCGCATCCATGGTCCTGCCTCGCGAGATTCGAAACCAGGACCAGTCTCTCGCGCAAGCGCTTAACCGACAGACCACTGAGCCGGCATCCAACTGTGTTAATGTCTAACTTTAACCAATCCACGAAATTGAGCAACCATTCATCAATGTCTTCAGTGAGTTGATATCTCCCACCATACCTGGTTGAATTCCATTGGTTACGGACGTCCAATGCTTCCAGGTTTTCCATTCTGGTCTAGCTTCAATTGACTCATGATCTCAATCATATAAAATTACTGAAGTCTTCACTAAACCCCCTTCGGATGAATTTTCTGTCAAATGTATGATGAATAAAATACACTGCGTTATTACCATATGCTAAATGAATGAAAATCAACTTGGTCTACTACGAAATTTAAATAACTAACTTCTGTTGAATATTTTACTATTATCAACCTATTTGAAGATGATCATATCAGAAGACTTTTTATGTTTAGTGTTTTATTAATAACTCAAGAAATGAATGATAATGAGGATTTCATTCATATGGAAATATGACCTGATTTACTTATTCATTCTTCTGTAATAATTATTAGCAACAGGAAAGGAATAATTAAATTCACTTAATATTGTAAGCAAAAATGGATAGTGGCTAGTAGTGGAATCCAGTTTGACGTACGTTTCGTCCTATTTGGGACTCGAAAGCTGGATGTACCTGCATCTCAGAGTTAATGTTCACTCTCGCACTCGAACCCAGTACCTTTCGCTTCAAACGCCATCGCGTTATCCAATCAGCTTCTGAGTCCTGATAATCACTTGCTTGTGCAATGGGGGTGAAGTTGAAATCCACTTGGTATTGTTTGTTTTTCAATCTTCCCATTGATGTTTAGGACTGCGACTGGTCACTCTCTTATTGGCATATGTGCTGGCGAATCCCAAATAGGACGAAACGCGCGTCCTGGATTCCACTGCTAGCCATTATCCATCTTGGCTAAGAAAGGAATAATTATTATTAATGATGATAAATGATACACTGTCAGTAGATTTTATGGCTTATGATCAAATTATATCTTGAAATAAGAATGTATAATCATATGATATGTTATGTCTAGAAGATTCTAACAAACGTTGAATAGAAGGTACTGTAGTGAATGATCATTTCAGTGTTGATCGTTACACTCATAAAGTAATCTGCTTTAGAAACCATATATCTACTTTTCAGCTATTGTACTGGTTTTATTGTTTGGGTACCGATTTTCGCATTCTCTACTGATCTAAAATATATATGATCTTGTAAATCTTCACATCTGACATTGTCTAGCGAAATTCTGATTAGCTTTACGGACACATCTTAAATCAATCCATTTTTGAAGTTAACTTGAAGCCAAATTTGATATCATACTAAAGTCATAAAAATAATTGACTTGGACTATATTCACTATGTCCATTAATGATATGATTAAATAAATGATGATTTTAGACATATTGTTAACATACGTTTCACTAGAATACTTATTAAGTAGTATTGTTTGTGGTGTGTGCTACTGATGTTGACAGATATAAGTAGTATGTATCATCAATCGAAAGTAAAATGATTGGAGGCAGAAAGTTAAGAAGATCAAAAAAAAGGAGAACATGAACAGAGAATAATTGATATGGAAATGAGGGAACAACAAAGTTTGAGACAATTGATGGATATTTTGCAAATGAAGTATTTACTGTGTGGTTCTTAGATTTTAGTAAGATAGTCTATAATGTTATATTGTAATACATTTTGTTGTCCCCACTGATGTACTCGTTCACAACAATACTAATAATATAATTATAAAAAGTGAAAAATGAAACTCATATACAGTTTTGTAATGTGTGTGTTCAAATACATTTGATTGCCCCTACTAGAGTTCTCGTTCATTACACTGTAAGTTAATCTAAATATACAACAGAGATTCAATCAAAACTCATGGAAACTAATTTTTATATATTTCTTTTATTTAAACACATAAATACTGGTACAAAGAGGGCACCAAATATATATGTGCCACACAAATCTCATTTGATTTGTGTTAGGGCTGTGATACTACCCTGGTGCCCAAACTGAAACAGGTAGTTTTCTTAAGGGGCCACACCTGGAGCCTTTGACCTAAAAGTGTGATCCACAAGGCAGTAGAGTATCGTGAGGAGATGCAGTCCCATGGTAGTCGGTGACCAACGATTGATTCATACTTCATTTGTTCCCTCAGGATACTGGATCCCATATGCACCATTGGTTTGGAATCAAAATTTTCCAACTCCTCTAGGGGAGAATTCCGTGTCCACCAACCCGGTTAATGCGCCGGACATTCGCTTTTCGTCCTCTCAATTTCGTAAACAACAGTAATGCCACGAGAATGCAATGAGTAGGACTTCCCTGTCAGAGGTTATATATTCGCGTGGCCATATGAGAGCATTTGGAGAGAGAGAGCTGACTCTCCCCACTCTTGACTATATAAGGGCATTTGGAGTCATTAATTTATGTTGATACTGATTTATATATTGAAACTAATTTCACTTCAATATAAATCACATAAAACTATAACATAACATTGATCTATCATTCATTAACAACATAATTATTCCTTTCCTGTCCAAATAATTATCTAATAAATATCTACACAATAATAATTATTCTGTTTAAGTTAAAATGCATTAATTTTACTATCATTACCCTCAGTATCATTATTATTATTACTACTATGACTACTACTACTACTACTACTACTACTACTATCACTACTACTACTACTATCACTACTACTACTACTATCACTACTACTACTACTACCACTACTACTACTATCACTACTACTACTACTACTACTACTACTACTACTATCACTACTACTACTACTACCACTACTACTACTACCACTACTACTGCTATCACTACTACTACTACTACTACTACTACTACTACTACTACTACTACTACTACTACTACTACTACTATAGAGGAGTGAGTACTTAATCAACTATTACAATATTTCTATGAATGAAATTATTATCATTGGTTTTTTTAATAATTACAACGATTAATTTGTAGAAGGTTAGATATGACCATCACCCACCACTTCGATATGTGTATCCAGTTGGTTAAATAGATAGATATATATAGATGGTATAAAAAATAGTCTCCATCTTAGGAAACTATTATGAAATCAATAAAATTAGATAAACATATTTTATCCATTTGAGATGTCTATAGAACAAAAAAAAACTAGTGATATGGATATTTCAAAAAGGAATTGAATTGAATAATTAAAAAATCTTGTGGTGAATATGAAATTAGTCAACTCTTAAATTATTATCAGAAGGGGGTTTTGTGGAGATTTTAGTAATTTTATATAGTTGAAATCATGAGTCAATTGAAGCTAGACCACCATCGAAAACCAGAAAGCACTGGTCGACCGTTTCGTCCTATTGTGGAACTCCTCAACAGTGTGCATCCACAAACCCGCACTCGCAAGATTCAAAACCAGGACCTATCATTCTCGCGCCAGAGCGCTTAACCAATAGACCATTGAGCTGACCGGCGTCTAACGGTGTTAATGTCTAACTTCAACCGATCCATGAAGTTGAGCAACCACTCAACAATTTCTTCAGTGAGTCGATCTTGGATGCGCACTACTGAGGAGTCCCACAATATGACGAAATGGTCGTCCAGTGCTTCCAGGTTTTCCGTGTTTATCTATCTTCACCTGACTCATGATTTAAACTATGAAAATCTTGAATTATTATTAAATGATCACAGTTTCTAACTGTTGTCAGTTTGTGATATAACAATCACACATTGGGTCGTTTATCTTAAGTGCTATATGCATATTAAGATAAACGATGTTGTCAAGGTATGTTAGAAGCTAAATACTCTTGGTTGAGACATAAATTCAACATAAACGCCTTTGTTAGTGTTAAAATATAGACAAATATTCTATCTTTGCTCCTAAAGTTTGCGACTTAAGGCAATATAGAGGCAATACACACAATATGCACATATTCCAAAACGGGACTAATAAATGACAGTCCTAAACATCAATGGGAAGATTCAAACAAATAATTCCAATTGGATTTAAGCTTCACCCCATTTTACAAGCAGGTGGATATCAGGATTCAGTAGGTGAGTGGATAACGCGATAGCGTTTGAAGCGAAAGATACTGGGTTCGAGTCTCAGAGTGAACATTAACTCTGAGATGCAGGTACATCTACCTGACGAGTCCCGAATAGGACGAAACACACGTCTCGGATTCCACTGCTAGGCACTATTCATCTTTGCTTATATGGACAAATAATGTTTTAAAAAGCTATCTATCATTTAAAAAGTTAAATAGATGAATATTTGAGGTGTATTAGTTTATAATTCACCGACTATTAAGATATACCAGTCAGTATGTTTTGATATATTTGCCAAATATAAAATTAACATCACTATGAGTTTTAAAATTACTATTAGCAAACATTTATTCATTAAATACAAAGTCAAGCAAGCACATCATAATTCAAGTTCTAAACGTGTGAAGTAAGTATTTTGACACTTGATTAAACTATTATGCATCATTGTGTCATTTATTCCTTCAGTTGGTAATCGTCTCGTAGCCAAAACTTTCTTACTAACTGTTTTTTACCCCCCCCCCCACCAGGCTTTTCTAGAAATAATTATAAATGAAGTACTACGAGAGCAATCTCCAATTTTTTTCAAATATTCTATTTCTACATCTTAGCAACATCATGAGTTAATTGAAGTTAGATCACTATGGAAAACCTAGAAGCACTGGACGGCCGTTTCGTCCTATTGTGGGACTCCTCAGCAGTGCGCATCCACGACCCCGCACTCGCGAGATTCGAACCCAGGATCTACCACTTTTGAGCCAGAGCACTTAAACGTTAGACCACTGAACCGGCATCCAAATTTATTGACATTAAAACTATCCCAGAAGGTTTATGGAAAAAATTTAAAAACCTCTTCAATCTACTTATAAGTAGCATATACTTGGTGATTTAGCTTCAATCAACTCATGATCTCAACTATTAAAATTACTATAATATTCACAAAAAAACTTTTTCAGAATTGAATATGTTTACTCTTTTCAGACATTAGATAATTATCAATATTATGGGTAAATTATAAATGCTATTAACAATCTAATCAATGAAATGATTCCAAATATCCATTAAGTTTAATTGAATTATCATAGTTAAAATCATGAGTTAATTGAAGCTAGACCAACATGGGAAATCTGGAAGCACTGGATGGCCGTTTCGATCTATTACGAGACTCTCCAGTAGTGCGCATCCATGGTCCCTTATCGCGAGATTCGAAACCAGGACCTATCAGTCTCGCGCCAGAGCGCTTAACCATTAGACCACTGAGCTGGCCGGCATCCAACAGTGTTAATGTCTAACTTTAACCAATCCACAATGTTTGAGCAACCGTTCACCACTTGTCTTCAGTTAGTTGATATCTCTACAACAGACGTGGTTTGAACTCCACTGGTCACTGCTTCTCACTAGAACTCAAGGAAACATCTCTTGAATTCAGTCACTAGTGAGCATATGATTATTGATCAAAAGGGGTTATGTGGAGATTTCAGAATTTTCATATTTGAAATATCCACAAAAAACCCTTTTCTAAATTAAATATGTTTACCCTTTTCAGACACTAGTGACTGACTTCAAGAGATATTTTCTTGAGTTTTAGTGGGAAGCGGTGGAGTTCTACCAAGTCTGTTGTAGAGATATCAACTAACTGAAGACAATTGGTGAACGGTCGCTCAAACATCGTGGATTGGTTGAAGTTAGACATTAACACCGTTTGATGCCGGCCAGCTGAGTGGTCTATCGGTCAAGGGCTTCGGCTCGAGACTAGTAGGTCCTAGGTTCGAATCTCGCGGGTGCGGGTTCGTGGATGCTCACTGCTGAGGAGTCCTATAATAGGACGAAACGGCCTTAAAGCAGTACTTTCAGGTTTTCGATGGTGGTCTAGCCTCAATTGACTCATAATTACAACTATGAAAATACTGAAATCTCCACAAAACCCCCTCTGATCCATTAGATAATTATCAATAATATGAGTAAATTATAAATGCTATTATAACAATCTAACCAATGAATATATTCCAAATATCCATTAAGTTTAATTGAATTAATTAATTAACCTTTTGTAAAGTGAGATCGATAAACGAACACACCAATGATAAGGTGGAATGCTCACCATCACATTAGCTTTCTTTGACCTTGTATGACTATTTCTTGTTCATCCACTAATCACAATTTTATGTTCATTGTGAAATATTATTCGCCTTTTTAGATAGTTGAAATCATAAATCAATTGAAGCTAGACCACCATGGAAAAACTAGAATCGCTGGACGGCTGTTCTGTCCTATTGTAGGACTCCTCAGCAGTGCACATTCACGATCAAGCCTCACGAGATTCAAGCTCAGGACATATTAGTCTCACGCGCGAGCGTTTAATCACTAGACCACTGAGCCGGCGTGCAACGGTGTTAATGTCTAATTTCAATTGACTCATGATACCAACTGTATAAAATGACTAAAATCTTCACAAAAGCCCCTTCTCATGATATCCGCCTTGTTGACTCATTTTTCCTATCCTCTAGTTACTATTCGGTATGTTGTTCACGTCTCTCCTTTTTCCTATGTAATAGACTGTACTGCCTATTTGTATATTAACGTTGTTAATTTACTTTTTAGAAACAGATAAAGTTTATTAAGACAAATAGCTTACTTGTTCTGACTTTGGCAAAACCAAGACTCTGTGTTCGACAATCTAGAGAGTAGCTTAGAGTTGAACATGTAGGAAATCGCTTCCTACACCTTTATCTTCTGGATGACTGAGCAGGCAGTTTTTAGTGATCTCTGGTCGTTACACCTTTTTCGCAGCTGACATAGCTGAACTCCACAGATAATTATCATGTTCATACTAGTGAAACACTTCAAGAAAAAAATTCCAGAGTTTTAGTGAGACTTCATAACTAAAGTAGTTCAGTGTTTACATTCATGATTTCAGAATACTTACTAATTGAATTAAAAAGATTACAATTTATAATTCTACAATCAGCTGACTAAGAACATTGTATGCATGGTCCAGATTTTATTGAGTCAAACTTAATTATTTGTACACTTTTTCGTACGTTTGTCAGTATTCAGCAAATATTCTACTCAAAGACATTATGACTAACTGACAAAATAAAAGATCTTTCTCAGATAGTAACAATCTATTTGAATGACAACATACAGAAAATTAAGCATCAAGAACAAATACTTTAAAGTAGTTTTCAAGAGTTGCCCCCAAATTTCCTGGTACGGCCGAGGGTGGGGAGAGTCAGCTCTCCCTCTCCAAATGCTATCATATCGCCACGCGTATACAGCCACTCCAAGGGAAGTCCTACATACTGTTTTCTCGTGGCCGGGGTGTCGTTTGAAAAGTGCAGAGCACATAAAGCAAATTTCCGGCGCTTTAACCGGTTTGTTGGACACGGAGAATACACCTAGGGAAGTTGGAAAACCCTGATTCCAAACCAATAGTGCACATGCGTTCCAGTACCCTGAGGGTAATAATGGTGTGTGAACCAATCGTTGGTCACTGGCTACCGTGAGACTGCATCGCCTAAAGTTACTCTACTGCCTTCTGAATTAGACATTCAGGTCAAAGGCTCCGGGTGTGGTGCCCTAAGAAAACCACCTGCCTTGGTCTGGGCACTTGGGTAGTATCACAGTCCTCACACAAATTAATGATAGCTGCTACTGATTTCATTGTTACTGTGTGGCGCGTATATATTTGGTACCTCCTTGTACCAATGTTTATGTGTTCAAACAAATAATAAATAAATTTTCAAGAGTATAGTTAAGCCTTAGAGCTACATGATAAATAACTGTTGATCAGGTGTTACGTCATATTGTAAACAATAACAAGGTCAGGGTAAATAATCTTATCAGTTTTGAATG